GCAAGAGTTAGTTAAAACAGCAAAAATTTCATGATGTTACTTGGTAAGATTGCGTTAGGAATGGAAACTACTTAATAAAAGTTGCAGAATTTGAGGCAAAAGACCCAAGTCTAGATTGAATTAAATCTAAGTCTGCCATTGGAAAAGGGGTATGGACTCAGACAATTCCTTCTGCCCCAGCCACTTCCCGCAAGGGTGCTATTATATGACTGGACTGAGAAAACTCAGGGTCTATTAACATTCGAGATTTGGAAGGAGTACAAGGCGGGGTAGGTGCATATGGAGGGGAAGCGGTGGGAGAAGAAGAAAAGGATGGTAAGGGGAGTTCCTGGGGACCTGGAGAAGGTGAGAGAGGGTCCAAAGCGGGGTGGGGGGGTGGGGGGCGTGGAGGTGCACTTGGGGCTTTTTGATAGGGAGGGGGTTCATCAGCTGAGTCAAATTGGCTGATGGAGTTGAGAGAACAAGCAAAGGAACTCTTTGATAGGGAGAAGGTTCCAGCTGGGTCAAATTGATAGGGAGAAGGTTCCAGCTGGGTCAAATTGGTAGGGAGAAGGTTCCAGCTGGGTCAAATTGGCTGGAACAAAGAAAAAGTCGAAGGTAGGGAAAGCCCTGGATATAAGGGGTCTCTGACCATTTTCCCTGGTGCTCACAAAGTTATTTTGATTGTCTAATTTGTATTGAGGCCAAATTCGAGTAGATAGCCTTGTAAGACGCTTAGGTTCAAGGTCTAAGCCCTTGAGGCTTCGGAGTAAAACACCGTAAGGGGGCTCTTGAGGTTCCCACCTCAGACCCCGTCTGAGGTGTGGGGACCCAAGCTCCCAGTGGCAGAATGGACAAGTCCCAGACTTGTTCTGGTGAGTTCTGAACTCACAATCTGCCAGTATGGAGGACCCAAACCCATAGCAACCAGGAATAAGACAGCGAACAGTGCTCACTTCTGACACCTATGAAAAGGGGAAAAAACAACACCGGCGCCGCTCATCAACCACACCTCATAACAAACGGCCCATCTAGAGACTTTTATTCAGGGTGAGTAAGGTAACCTCTGCTGGAGAGAGAAGGCAGGAGGCAGAAGGGAAGAGAGGAAGAGGAAGAAGAAAAAGATCAGAGAGAGAAGAGGGCAGAAATAAGAGGAAGAGGAGAAGAGAGAGTCAACAGGAAGGGAGTGGTCATTGCTGATGATTTAGCTCTGGCCTATCAAAAGCCACGTTGTCCTTTAAACTAGGTGCCTTGTATCTTAGGGCAGGAAAACAGACAAAATGGAGTTGGAGGGAAGGTATTGTAACATTGTGACTAGGTGACATCCTTGGTTTCAGTTCACCTGTGTATCTAAAGTTTTGAGATTGAGCTCATGTACTTGGCAGATGATTTTGTTTTTGTTTGTTTAGCAGAAATTTGAACTAAAATGCTGGGAAACAGTTGCTACTGCTCTGTTTTCCAAAGTGGCTACCACCATCTCTAACCACACCATGTGTGCACATCTTTTAATAAAGAATTGCCAATCAAGGAGAAATATTCCAGGATTTTAAGGTACTCCAGATTTTAATAAATAAAGGATATCATGACTTGGCCAAGAGTACTTTATATTGGCATACGTATCTATGTTGCAGACCGTGTAAGACTAGTCAGAGGTTCGAGGCCCTCTAGGGCCGAGTGTAACAAATGAGGCCACTGGCAGTTAATGGAAAATTGCTTTCATATTAATATTCAGGTATATATATTAAATTAATACACTGGAGCCTTTGACAATCCACAGATAAATGTGATATTTTCCTAAAGCCGAGACTAAAGGTTGTAA